GCCGGAAGGTGGAATTTGTAACTGGAAGGTGGAGGCCCAACCACTTTAACAAAAGAATCCTTATTTGGGCCGGAAGGTGGAATTTCAGTGTCAACATTGTAGCGTATCATGCCAGTGCGACTACCTACCCCTTCAAAAAAAAATTGATTCTCGAAAAAAAAACCTCAACAAATGCCAGTGCGACTAAGTTCTAGAAGCTTCTAAAATAAATACTTGTAGAAAAGCACAACTGCAACAAAAAATATTGTATCCTAAAAACAGTTATATGCAGACACAAAATATAAAATACATATGCTGGGCAGAATGAAAGAAAACCAGGCGTGGACCCATGTGCAGGCCATGCACCTACTAAATTTCTAGAAATTCAATAAAATCCGTTTAAAATTTGAGAAAACATATGAAAATCTCCTGATTTTATTTTAAAAACAATTCATATCATTGTCTTCCCCCTCCTACGTCGTCAAAAATGTTTTTGGGACCGCTCATGAAAAAAACACCTATTGCAACATACTTGCCAATAGTACTTCATGAAATATCATTTTGCTAGAATAAGAAATATCATCTGAGATGGTTGATCAAAGCACAAACTTGCCTCGATATGGAAGAAATTTTTTTGTGGGGTTTTTAACCACTTACCTATTTTTTCTTTTAGATATATTGATTGGTTAGAAAGATCTACCTTTAAACTAATAGTGCAATCATTTTTTCCTAACTCAAATCTTAATCATTTCTTTCCAAAAATATTGGGCATGTCATTTGGTGCCAACTCAAACATTAAAAAATATGACCAAGTTGTTTCTTCAAAAAATACCTAAATACCAGATAGATAAATCATGAAAACACATTTCTTGGATATAATTATATTGATTTGGTATTATGGATATTGAGAATTTTCTCTATAAATTTAATCTACTTTTATATGGCTTATATATATTTCGTGGGGAAGAGAATTTTTTTGGGGTAACAGGAGCCATCAGTGATGCTGGTTGCTGGTAGGAATCTTAGCTTTTTATTGTTCGGTAATGATTCTTTGCTTTCAATTGTCTGTGATTTGCAATCTGCATATCTTCTATATCTAAATAGGAGCACCCCACCATTTGATTTCTCTAAACATGCAGCCTATCCACATCAGCAGGCTGCCACGTCAGCAGTTCTCCACCAATCAGCCGTGAGTCATGCAGCCCATTCAGCTTAACTATCGCGATAACTTTTGATAAGTAGAAAAAAAGGTCAGTCGCTATACTCTCCACGCAAGAGTCCATTGCTTGCCAGGCATAACAAAGGGTAATCAATACTTGCATGCGTTGGTTCCACAGATTAGCCATTAATATAGGAAACTGATGCTAGCTAGGTTACGATGCGAGAATTATTCATTACGATTGAGAATTTATGCTCGGACGACTAGGTACCTTCATCTCCCTGGACAAATAAATCTCCATCGAGTCGCTACAAAAATCCCAACCGATTCTGCCATCTTTCCTGTATCTATACTTTCCATACCAAGCCTTCTACAGAGCTCTCTACGGCCTCCGCCGCTCCACGGGCGCGGACGCCAGCGCCGGTAGGCCTAAGCGTGGGTGGGCGACGCCGAGCGCGAGTACCCCGGCCAGTGCTCGCGTACGGCCCAATAGTATATGGACTGATTTTGCACTGAAAGAGGGTCAGGTTTTCTTACCTTTTGCTAATCGGCTCATGTATTTGTATGCAATGGAAAACATAGCGATTGCACATGTATTTCTCTGCAATGAAAAACATAGCGATGCCATCATTCTATTTTGGTTCATTAAATACGTACATGGATTTTTTTTTTTGCGGGGTTTACTTCCTTGGATTTTCAAGTGGATTATCTTTATATCTTCCTAACTGACTTACAGCTAGCAGTGCCAGATTGGTAATTATACCTTTTTCGACACGAGGTAACTATGCACCAGCCCTTTTTGTATGATGATGATTGGTTGTTATACTCATATTGGATTGATTATTATTTTTCTGCCATACGATGTTGCGTTTCTACACTGGAGCACCTTCAGTCATTTGTGCACCTACAGGCGTGTGTAATCTGGACTATATATGTTTGATAATTTTCTTCAAAATTGTATTCTTCATTTCTAGTGACACCATTGGTTCAATTGCAAAATCTGTCTGAGTGTATTATATACCTTTGGCATTGTGACAGGACTAATGTAAATACTTTTGCCTCTCTTAAATCATCACATTAGTTTTGATTATAACATATTATTGCAGAAGTTACATTACAGAACAATCTCGCATTACTACACCCATGAAGCATCACTATGATATAGTACCTTACATCCTCAAAGTTGGTGAACTGAAACACAACTGCTATGCCATAACTATAGCATCTAATTTATATTCTTATTCTTATTAGGCAGTAGGCAGTTACTCGATAAGATGGAAAAATATATTATGTTCTGTATATACTTTGCTGTGGTCAGTACAAAATAATAAGACATGCATTTTTGATGTCCTAATAGATGTGATCCTGAACCTAAATATTATTTATAATTACATTATGTTTTATAGATAGCTTCCCCTTCAGATTTTCCATGCGCATTACAGTCACTTTTTACAAATTCCCGCCGCAACGCGCGGGGTGTCTTCTAGTTTAGTTTAGAGTCAAGATCCAATTCCTTTCTGTGGATCCAATATTTTATTTCTAACGATTTGTTGTACTGCCATGATTGAAAATGAATAGATTCAAAGTTTTCCCGCAAAAAAATATATCAAGAAAGTGCTCTAACAATTTTCTGCAGTTAGACTATTAGAGTACGATAGGTAGGCAAACTTTGAGCTTGGTTAAAAAAGACTGCTCCCACCCACCCCTCTAAGGACTGAAATAGTTATAGCTCTAGCCCAGTCCATATTGTTCTTGGATATTATGGTTGAGACATTTGTGCTCAGGTCTATATTAGAGTACTAGTATATCAATGGAAATACAGTCGAAGGGTCCACTCATAGAAAAACCCAACCTTTCCCGCATCCGGCACTAATTATTTTTAACGTCTAACTAGCGCGGAGAATCCGGCCGAACGGTTACGCAACACTTGGGCGCCTGGGCCAAAATTCCGCTTACCAAGGTGCTTCTATTGAACCACACTTACGTAAGCTGAAAAAGGGAATAAAAACTTAATTCATGTTTCTCACAAACCTCTCTTTCAT